AACAAAGCTAAATTTGTTATAAAAATAAGAACCACATTAGATTTTGAAATAACTAGATGTATAAAGGTTCGATTTCCCCCCTCTCGCAATATCGCTGTATAAAAAAAACTGGATTTGAAATGACTATTTGTAAGGAATTATTTGAAACCCATTTATGTTCTTCCTGTCTTTCTAGTCCAAATTTTGGCATACATGAATTGTACTAGTCTAAACAAACTACTTTATTTTATAATGTCATCTAAATCCATAGATTTGGAATCCCTCTAATCTAAATGAAGCCTAACATGTGTACAAAAACAACATGAGTAGGATGCTGATCAGTACGATGACTAATCTCTTTATGTGTAAATTTACTCGCCTAATCCTTGGTGTATGATATTTCCTCGAGTTTATTATACTCTTTCCTTATAATAATCTAAGCCTTTGTTGAAACTTTTATAATAAAAAAACATTCATTTAGTGAATAGGCTCAATGAGTAACTTTGTAATCTAATAAGGTGTGGAACTTTGTTTTGGTATTTGGATTAGGGTAATGCCTTGAGAAACGTCACTATTGTGTTCACAAAGTAATTTTGGGTGGACCCCACTTTATCTTGTGTGTGGCATTGTTAGGTGACCCGCTACAAGCCATTTCTCATTTGTTGAGAAGGTCTGACCATTTGGGCTCAGAAAGGGACACCCATTTGGGAGTTTCTGATCATTGAATTTGGTGTGTTGCTTGGGAAGACAATGCCAATTCATTTGGCTATCTGAATATTTTATTTATTTTATTTATTTTTCTTTTTCTTTTGGGTGGGGGCAATCTTCGGTGGACACGTGGCGAGAATCTGCAGGTCGGCTCTCTGACTATTCTTGCTTACAAAGATTATGCTTGGATGGAGTATCATAGGGATTGGAGATCCTCTGGCAATCCGCAAAAATGTATTCCTCCGCCACTTTCTTATATAATAATTAACTGTTCGATTCTTTATCGAAGCATCTTATTTTAAAGCTTAAACCCAACAAAAATTAGATTATCATAAAAATTAAAAGGGTCGTGAGTGGATGAGTAAATGTATAATAAATAAATTCCAACAAAAAAATGTAAATAAATAAATATTTTTATAATTTATAATTTTCAATTATGCATAATTTATTCTCTCTCTCTCTCTCCTCTCTCTCTCTCTCACAAAAGTGGAGGCCGAATGAAAAAGCCAGATTCTTAGCCCAAGCATAAGCCCATTCTAGAAATGCTCCTACGTAAAGTTTAAAGATTCCCCATGTTGTTTTCAGAACTCCAGTTTAGAATGTTTGTGAATTTAGGTGCAAGAAAATAAAGCACCCAATATCGACATTAAAATCCAAATGATAAGCTAATGGGGATATCTTTCTTTCTTGTTAATACTTATTAGTATCACTCCAAAATAGTTGTCGTGCATTCGTTTTCTTATTAAAAAATTATGAGATAAATGAGCGTGCGATGACTAATTTAAAGTCCTAATAATAATTCATCCTCCCTCAATATCGCTTGTATAAAAAATAAAAAAATAAAACTTAATAAGAGTTCCTCTTTTTGGGCCATATAGAAAGTTGAATTTTCTGTTTTGGGTGATTGAATGAGGCACAAGGCCCAAAAGAAAATAAGAAAAGTTGCCAATTATATTCCTGGGCCTAGAAGCCCAATATGATATTTCATGAAGAAAAGAGACATAAAAATATAGAGGCCCAGTAAGACGAGTCCGTTCTATATCTAACCTCCTCAACATGGAAGAAGGCTCTTGCTTTATAAGCACCACTCTAATCCTTGTGCAGTAAGGAATTTCCTAGGTATAGTCGCTCACTCGCACGCATGCGACTCCTAACCGTTGATGTAATATGAGCTCTATATTTATCAATGGCTGAAATCATTATGAGATAAATGAGCGTGCGATGACTAATTTAAAGTCCTAATAATAATTCATCCTCCCTCAATATCGCTTGTATAAAAATAAATAATAAATAAAAAAACTTAATAATAGTTGCTCGGCTATATAGAAAGTTGAATTTTCTGTCATGGGTGATTGAATGAGGTACAAGGCCCAAAAGAAAATAAGAAAAGGTGCCAATTATATTCCTGGGCCTAGAAGCCCAATATGATATTTCATGAAGAAAAGAGACATAAAAATATAGAGGCCCAGTAAGATGAGTCCGTTCTATTTCTAACCTCCTCAACATGGAAGAAGGCTCTTGCTCTATAAGCACCACTCTAATCCTTGTGCAGTAAGGAATTCTCTAGGTATAGTCGCTCACTCGCACGCATGCGACTCCTAACCGTTGATGTAATATGAGCTCTATATTTATCAATGGCTGAAATTCATCCACTCGAACATTCGTACATTAGTGATTGAATCAAACATGTCTTGCTTAAATGATCTTACTACTACCGGCAGTTTTCTCTCTTTATGTTCAAAATTATTCTCCAAAAGTGGGTTCCTCTAAAGGTTGTCACCTCGGTGCTCAACACCCAAAAAAGAAAACAAAAAAGGAAACATTTTGATTATGGCTAAGGGCATGTTTGATACTGTTTCTAGAAGAGTTAAAAATGCTTTTTTATAATTTAAAAAAACGCTTTAAAGCGTGTGGCAAAAATATTAAAAGTAGTTATGAGGCATAAAAATGCTTCCCTATTAATTATGGCACTAAATATACTTGGGAAAGAAAAATGGTTTTTGTGCTTTCCTTAGCTTGTGGAAGATGGGTCCTTTCTTTTCATAATCTTGGAAGGTGCTTATTGAAACTTTTTGGTTTTTTAAGCTTCGAGGAAAAATAAGGGAAACCCAGAAAACCAAAAGGAAATCCAAAAGTGACAATCAACTTGGGCCTGGTCCCATCCTTATTGGACTTTTGGAACATTCAGCTATTTTGGTTTCTTTTTGGTCCTAGGGCTCTTTTGTATTCGTATCGATACGTAGTAAAGAATGACATGTATATTGAGCATTATTGTTTATCACGGCTCGACGGATAAATAGATACGTAAATAAGGGATCGGAAGTGATTAGGGTAGGGAAGTAAGGAGTGACTCACCTGACGATGCCGCCGCTATTAGTGTCGTGTTGTTTCGATCTCGAAACTATAGAATGACAATTATAAGTAACGCTTGAGCATGACATGATGGATAACACATCTTTTGTTCCATGGTGTAGCCTAATTTATCCAAGCATGAATAAATACGGGCCATATGGTATGGCTTAGCTTGGAATTCTGATTCATTGGGCTTACAGGGATGTAGCAATACTTCATCATTTTAACCCTGGTTTGGGCTTCATTTTTGTTGTCTCCAAAATGTAACGGTCAAGGGGGAAGGTGAGATTTTCTTGAGGAGATAAATAATTGTAAGATTGCGCAGTGGCTCGACCAGAGGCATGCCTAGGCAAGACGATAATAGAATATGCATTTCCTCATCTTGGCTTGCTCTCCCTCAAAGTGGTCGCGTGGCATGGCTAAATCATCACAACTTTTATAAATAAATTCATTAAAAAATTGCCTAGTAGTACAAAAATTCAGTCAATCATATACTTTTTAGAAATTAGAAGCCATATTTGTGATAGCCAATTAAAATAATTTTTTATTGGGAAAGATTGTTGTTCCCTTTGGATTGTAAGAATATAGGTGAGAAGAAGGTGGTATCTAGAGGCATATAGACCCTTTGGCCAAAAAATTTACAAACACGGCAATAAAAACAAAAATGTACTCTAAAGTCTTATAGTGGGGTGTGGAATGTTGGAGAACGTGTAACTGGCCAAGAAGGCATGATCATGAATATGCCTGCTATCTCTCTCATCAATTTGACAAAAATTAATTTTTGGTTCATGTAATTTGTCGATTTTACTACTTTGATCCTCACAATTTCAGTTTTGTCAATTTTATTCGTATGGCCTCAAATTCGAGCAGTTCAATAACACATTACAAATTTTATTAAATTCCTTCTAATTGTGTCAAATCACATGCTAAAAAACCTAATGTAATTGGAAGGAACTTGATATAATTTGTTACGTATCTTTGAATTTCTTAGAATTTAAAATAATATGATAAAATTCACAAAAATAAATTACTGTGGGAACTAAAATGATAAAACGGACAAACTACATGGACTAAAAGTGACTTCACCTGTATATGTAGAATACAACATTGGAGATAGAATTTGGGAGAGGGAGAGTGGAGTAGTAATGATTGAGAGAGAGAGAGAGAGAGAGATTTTTTATGCATGCAAACAAAGACAAAGAGGCAAAGAGCATTGCATAGGCATTAGGGTTTAGGAGGCGGAGGCAATGAAGCTGAGAATTGAGAGAGGGTGTGAATAAAAACGCACGCCAGTGGGAAAGGAAGGGGGGCTGGCAGAGACGGAGAGAGCACGTCCCCGACAAGGGACAGGGGGCCATCCCAAAGCGCAATGCATTTGTCTGCTCCTGCTGCTAGTTGCAAAAGGCCTTTGAATATGCAGAAGAGTAACCACAGTCCCCACTTTCTCCACCATCCAACCAAGCCCCCACCCCTCTCTCTCTCTCTCTCTCTCTCTCCTTTGTATCTATCACTACATGCAATGCAAATATCTGTCATCATCATCATTGTCGCTTTTTTGTCATGCCAAAAAATTAAAATTATATTCAAACAAAAGAGAAATCTTGATGCTTTTTGTCAGCCTCCTTTTTGCACGCTTCACTGCCTCTATATCTATCCCTCCCATTTTGATATAGGTCGGTCAAGATTTATGTTTTACCAAAGAAACTTCTCATTTAGTTGTTAAATCTAAACCAGTTTTAACAACTTTATGCACGTCATAATGACATAGCAAGGAGAAAAATAGACTAGAGGAAGAAGAGGGAGTTGTGAGAAAATTGATAAAACATAAAACATATTGACGGTTACTGAAAGTAATGAAGATTTTTCCTTTGATAAAAAAATAAACATCTATCAAATCTAAGACAAAACTAAAATTTTATTGCGAGACTAATTAACGAACCCTTTTGATCTGACACTTAAGCTCACTTTCCCTTCTCATTCTTTTGCCTCTGTTCTTCTAGAACACAGACGTAAATAAGCTCATCCACTGTCCACATCTCCTTCAGAATGCTGTATACTGTTACCAATTGCCCATAAGAGCTTGGAAGAGAGTTTACGGCAATATGCACCAAGAAGGTCTCATCTATGGGGACCTTCAGCACTTTCAGCTTATTTGCAATGCCAGCCAATCCCAGAATATACTCTCTTACGGACCCAACACCATCAAACTTAGCAGAATTGAGAGCAGTGATCAATTTTCTAACTTGTGCCTTATCTTCTGGCTTATACTTCTGAATTATAGTTGCCAAAAACTCTTTTGCATTCTCAGAAGCAGGTATTTCCTCAAGCACAGATGCAGAAATTGTCTTCTCCATAACAAGGAGAGACATTCGATTCGACGTTTCCCAATTCTTCAACTTCAATTTCTGTTCAGATGTACTGGAAGTAGTGAGAGTTGCGGGCTTGTCTTCGATCAAAGCCAAATCCAAATCCATAAGGCCTAAAACTACCTCTACGTCTAGTTTCCACTTCTCATAATTTGGTCCATTCAAAGTTTCTATTGAACTCAAATCTGGACCAGTATAAACTGTTAAAAAAAAAAAAAAAAAAAA